GTAGTATTCGTAGTATTCGTAGTAGTAGTAGTAGTAGTAGTAGTAGTAGTAGTAGTAGTAGTGGTACTTATAATAGAAGTAAGACGAGGAGGAGGAGGTGGTGTCGGTAAGGCCTGGTCATGTTGGCAACAATCGTGATGCCGACGGTGATGATTATACTGATGAGGACGATTTCGATGAGAATGTTGAGGTAACAATGACCGCATAGTTGTTGCGGTTTCTTGTCTTGATGGATAGAGCCCGTATTCTTTTAGTGATTGTTGATGGGGTGTGACTTGTATGATGATGTTCGGGGCGATGATGATGATGATGATGACGACTTAGCCATGATGACGAAGACACAGGTGGTGTTGAAGACATGCAGTGGGGCACGCAATGCTAACAGCGATGAGGCTAGCAACATGCGCATCTCGGGTCAAGCGCTACTGCAAAAGTTGTGCTTCGGGCGCGGGAATGGCGACGCGAGACGCCCAAAGTGGCGCAAAGCTGGGATGCCGGCCACTCAGACTTGCATGGCTAGGTCTAGCGATTCTCTTCAGCTTCCTGGCTAGCTCAGCTTCGACGTTTACTGAAGTCTCAGCTGCCGCGGATGGGCGGCGAAAGATGGCGCTGCGATGGTTCGCAATGGATTTCGCCATGGCTTTTACTGCGGAAGAGCTACCTGCGGCTGCGGAGGGCGAGAATGTCGATCTGGGATACGAGAAGATGGATCGGCTAAAAGGCTCGCTGGCCAAAAAGCGAGTGAAGATGCCGGACTTCACTTCGCTCCCCAGCGGCTTGCAGATCAAAGATGCAGATCCGGGACGAGCTGGGACATCAGAGGCCAAAGAAGGCGACTATGTGGTTTTCACATGGGAGGGCTACACTATCAATTACTTCGGACGACCATTTGAAACACGGACCTTACAAAAGATGTCTGGAGTAGACCCTGATCCCTTCCGTTTCCGAGTGGGTGACGGCACTGTCATCAAAGGGATCGATGAGGGCGTCCGGGGTATGCACGAAGGTGGAATTCGGCAGCTGATAGTTCCCGTGGAGATGAGCTATGACGAGGAGCATAAGCTGGCACCGAGGCCGACGACAGACGGTGGTAATCGAGCCCTTGACTTCGTGATGGACAATAAGGGCGGCCTTATGGACAAGACTCTTCTCATTAACATTGCAGTGAAGAGAATCTACCAGAAGTGAGCGACTGCGCGCTTGGTTGTGTGACCTGCGGAGTCCTCGCACTTAGCCCAAATCAGCTCGACTGCCAGCATGTGTGCGGGTTGTTGCACACACAAACTCATGCACACACACACACACATATTTATGTACTTTCTCCCGCTCTGACTCTCGCTCTCTCTCTCTCCATGTTTACAGGTGCGTGTATATATGGACTAAGCAACTGTGTGTGTGTGTGTGGCATCTTCGCTTAGTATGTGCACGTGTGCGGCTTCGTTTTTGATCCACATTGTTTCACGTGCATCACGATCCCTCCTTTCATCTCTTTGCCACTGTCTGTCTGTATCTGTAAATCTGCGCTTCTTCGGCTTCTATTTAGATCTAACTGCTTTCCGCCTATATACTCGTCCGTGCTTGTCTGCGCGTGCCTACACATCTACACAACACATTTACTCAACCCTGTACGTCTGTCTGTCCAGTTGCCCACCCATCCATCTTTCTTCCTTCAATGTGTGTACATATGTACTATGCATGGAGGTAGGATGCATGTATGCGTACATTGAGTATGTATGGGTCCTGCGCATGCAGTACTTAGAGAAATCAAGTAAACAAGTGTATGTATATGTATATGTATGTATATACACACATGCAGATACACAAACACACACGGCTTGCGTATACCGCTGATGGGTTTTGTCCGGCATACCGCTATTCAGGGAAGCTGCAGGGATGAGCATCTCAGGGTTAGCATATTCTACGCAAGGACAGTCTCATCCCGCGTGTGCTTCTGGAATCTCCTTTACATGTCAATTACAGCGCTGGGCAAAATAAGTCTGGCAGGTCACCGGGCAGCTGGGCACTGTGATGAGCGAGCCGGGGAACTCACTGTGTGGTTTTCACGTGTGGTGTGAGTTGGTGCCGGTGGGAGTACACGGCGAAAACCTGAGGTCCAGCTCAATCTCCTTGACGTACGCCCGGCTCTTCATGCGGGAGCCATCATCTCAGTCTTGCTGCTCTGGCGCACGCATCTTCTCTCTCCTGTTCACGGGGACTCCCCAAGAGGGGATCGTGTCTCGTGTTGCTTGGGTCCTTGCCGAATGTACGGGTCTGATTGGCTTGAAGAAGACCTCCATAGTTAAGGCGGTTCAGGATAGCAGCATCATCACCAGCGTCAACAACTTGAATAACCGAACACGGCCAGAAGTAGTACTACGCAAATGCCGCAAATATTTGCAATCGCAATCATAGCGATAAGGATGATGGAAATCATGTAATCCCCTTCTTCGTCCTCCAAGCGAGTCGAGTAGTAACAACAACGATGACTCCGGTACTGGCTGCTTCTCCGACAACGGCGACTACTCGAAGACAGCGACGGTTCCACGGTTACGGCTCATACTGCTGCTACGGCTAGTGCTGCTGCTGCAAGAGGAACCATGAACTCTCCGTTCAGGCTGGACTCCAGCAACAAATTCCTGGACACTGCCAGCATTCACCTTCATGTCCCTGAGGGCGCCACGCCGAAGGCTCCAGTGCAGACCGCGAGATATTATCGTATATTATAGTACATCATAATGGATTACATGATAGTATATATATATACACATCTTATAAGTATAGGCTATATTATGCTATAGTAGATTTGAGTAAAAGATCGTATATCATAAACTGCTATAACAAATTGTACTGTAGTATACCATAGCATACTCTAGCTATAGTCTATTGTAGTAAAAATAGTATGTCACTATAGTAATTCATAGTATACAAAGGGTTCAGGGTTTTTTTTCGGCCCAGGATGTCGGTCTTTTGTTGAACCATTTTTGTATGGGGCAAGGACCGAGGCTTCTGCAATTTCGTGTGATACGGTTGATGAACAAAATCCTGCATGACCCTATATACCTAAACTATGGGATATATGGTACTATACTATATTTGGGTCATGCAGGATTTTGTCCATCAGCAGTATCATCTGAGAATCAGGTTTTCGGGTGTCGGGTTCAACTGCCGGCCCGGAGAATGACTGGGGTGTGTTCTCGTACGATACCTATGGTTGATGATATAAATCCTGCATTACCCATAATAAGGAGCATACCAGAATTCCCATAGTTTAGGGTCCTTGAAGTAATGCAGGGTTTATATCATCAACCGTATGTTGTTGAGACTTCAACTTGCTTGAAGTCCCTGCTCTGGTTGTCCAACCCCGTAAAGGCAAATCCAACTGAAACCCTAAACCCTCAGACCTAAGCCCAAATAACCTCCACCCAAAACCCTCAACCCTGAACCTCCAAACCTCGAAGCCTCTAAACCTCTTAATCTCAAAGCTCTAAACCCTTAAACCCTAAACCCTAAACCGTTAAATCCCTAAACCCTAAACCCCTAAACCCCAAACCCCCAAAACCTAAACCCTTAAACCCTAAACCCTTAAAAACAACAACCTAACTTTGAAGCCCTAAGCCAGCATTCGCCAGGATGGCCCCTCGGCAGGGGTGACGATGCCCCTCGGATGTTCAACTTAGGTCTGCGCACTTGGAGGTTGATGGTTACTGATAAGTGGGGTTTAGGGTTTGGGGGTGGTTTTTAGTCCCCGATTATGGGGTTTGAGGTGATGGGTACTCATACATGGGGTCTTTAGTCCCCTAGTATGGGTTTAGGGGTTTGGGGTTCAGGTTTGGGGTTCAGGGGGTCACAAGTCCCCGAATATGGGTCATACTTATACTTACCATACTTGTAACCCCACTTCTAACTACCCATGAACCTCCGAGTAAAAGGGGTCTGAGAAGGAACCTGTGGGGGAGACCTTAAATATTGGAGATACTGTAAGAGTCACTTTAAGGGTTGCTATAAGGCACGCTATACGGATTGGGTTTGGGGTTACTATCAGGGATACTGCAAGGGCTACTCCGTACGTTCTGCAGGGGCTTCGAGGTTTAGTATAGACGCGGTAGTTATTCAGGCCACTGTAAGGGTTTGGGCCTCAGGGTTGAAGTTTGGGGCTGCGGCTTGTGGGCTTAGGGTTCAGGTTTAAAGTTCAGCGTCTAGTCACGACTTTGGGTTTCGAGTTTGTGCGGTTCAAGCATCTGAGCTTAGGGTTCAGGGGTGTGCCCAGCCTGGAGAGGCTGCAGGGGCCCGCCCACGTCCGTTCTGCAACCATGGCCTCAATAATTACCTTGTTTATTTTGGGGGTTCCTTATTTTAGATATACTATAAAGGACCCCAAACCCCTATTCTAATTATTAAGGTCCCTACATTAGCTTGTCAGTTTACCTCCTTTACTGAATCAGTCACGGCCTTGAACACTGAGCTGCCGTCGGGACTTGTGTGTAAATCAAGATCATGCAATTCTTGGACTGTCAGAGTGGCCGAAGTGGTCGATCCTCACATTTCATTGGCAACGGCTTGTCTTCATCTACTCAGACGACGCTACTTGGAGGTTCATGGGTAGTTATAAGTGGAGTTATAAGTAGGGTAACTATAGTTATGACCCATATTCGGGGACTTATAACCCCACTTATAACTACCCATGAACCTCCAAGTAGACACGCCCTAAACCCTAAACCCTAAACCCTAAACCCTAAACCCTAAACCCTAAACCCCTAAACCCTAAACCCCTGAAGCAGAGGACTAGTGCCCTCGTCAGCACCGCCTTCGATGTGCCGCTTTTGGCCAAAGCCTTGGCGAGAGGGGGACGTTTCGAGGGTCCTGGGGAAGTCACTGTGACATATTTTAAAATACTGAGTTACTAGTATTACTGGAGTATACTATAATGTACTGGGGTATATGATAAAATACCATAGTATAGTTTAATATACTATAATGTATACTATAATGATGTATAAAATACTATATTGCAACATGGCTTGAACCCTTTACCGTCTCAGCCGTTGTTTTGTGCGGGTGGCGGGGATTTGGGCCCTGGACTGATCTGAGGATGACATCGCCATGACAGGCGAGTTGACGTTGATGGGCAAGGCAGATCCGAATATGCCATAATATACCACAGCATATTGTAACACACTACAGTAGAGTATAAACTAAACTATACTCTAACTTACGATAATATACTATAATATGTGCAGCTAGTTGAAGTTGTTGTACCCCGCTCCCCTGACAGTGGTTTGCTTCCGTGGAGGTTCTCAAGGTCGGTGGCATCAAGGAGAAGGCGGCGACCCGGGTCGTGTTGTCTTGCAAGAGATGCCGGCGGCAGGTACTGCATGCTACTCGCACTTTTGTATGTTGTTGCCTCGCATCCTAGCGCTGCATCCCTAAACCTTAAACCCCGAACCCTAAACCCTAAACTTAAGCCCTCAACCGACAGCTTGACACCAGGTGATCGCAGCACGTCGTGAAGGGGTGAAGACTCTCCTCCTCCCACGGCAGAATGAGGCCCCTCCTGGAACAGTGATTGTCCGCTGTCTCGCCTCGAAACCGTGCATAGGCTGACTTCATGGAGCTCAAAGAATACCTCCGTCGCCACCTCAGCACATCCCGAAATCGATCGAACTCCAACATCCCTTGATGCTGAACCCTAAACCCTAAACCCTAAACCCTAAACACTAAAGCCTAAAGCGCAAGAGACCATCCACATCAGATCGTCGGCTGCAGAGTAGGAGAGACAGCGGCGAGGTGCAGGCATGACTGCCCATTTCGTCGACCACTACGACGTGTCTCAGCCGGAATCAGGGGGGAGCTAGTATAGGAGCCTCAATCATTGCCTATACTATTTTGGGGGTTCCTTATTAGAAATATATAGTATAGTGGGTCCCAAAACCCCCATATTAGCTAATCAGTCATCCACCTCTTTACCGTTCCGGTCCGCAACTGTTGCCTTTCCAAGATTCAATTTCTGATAAGCCGGGGCAGGTGAGGTTCAGGATGGCCCAGAAACCAGCTCGCTGGAAGAGCCGAATTTGGAGTTGTGCATCTTCGGGGCACTGCAGAAGCACGGGTGTGGGCTGATGCCCAGCGTGGTATTGTGCACATTGATATCGGGGCTCGGGAGTAGAACTATTCTAGCTGCCGCAGCATGGGAGCGAGCACTAGTATTGCCTATGTCTTCGTAGTGGAGACTCGTCCCCTTAGGAGGCGGTCGGAACATGCAGGAACTCCCCCGCCTGGGCCTGAGACCCGAAGCCTGTAAGCAGGCCTACGAATCCATCCCACTACAAGAGCTCAAATGGGAGTTTCCGAAAATGAGGGTACCTTATTTTGGGGCCCTTATAATAAGGATCCTATTATTTAGGGTACTATATTAGGGTTCCCACTATTTTAGGAAGCCCCCAAATGGAGCCAGGATGTGTACAAGCTGGCTTTCGACCAGACCAAGGCTGGCATCAACTTACTTAACGCTTCGAAGAGTAGGGCCGGGCGTTGTTAGGGTTTAGGGTTTAGGGTTTTAGGGTTCAGGGTTGGGGGTTTAGGGTTTAGGGTTTAGGGTTTAGGGTTTAGGCTTTAGGGTTTAGGGTAGAGGGCAGGGATTAGAAAAACATTGCACCGTGACGCTCACAGGAGGATGCGAAAAGGCCGAGTAACTCTGCAAGCACACATGCGAACATTTAGCTCGTTTTGCACTACTGCATACGCATGGTTTCAATCGCTGGCTTCTTCTCGTCATTGAACTATCGCACTTTGCATATTGCCGAAACTGTGGTATTCTTCTAGTCCTAGCTGCTTCGTCCCTCAAAAGGGCCCGGCGACTCGGAAGCTTCACAGCTCTCGGATTCCAGGGTTTCGTTTCGGGTTGGGAGTTTTTTTTGCAGCTTGAAACCCCCCCAAAAACAGGCAGCGGCTTATCAACTTGCCATTCCTAAACCCGCAGGTTCAGAGTTCCCCTGCAAGGTGCCCCCTTTGTCGGCACCTTCGAGGGGCCTGCCTGTCATCACGGTGCGGGGCCGACCTTCGGGGGTGGATTTCGCTTCCGAGATCGGGACGGCCTCGCCGGATGTATTCAGCGAAGCCCCCGGGGTCTGTGTTTCTTCGGAAGCCTGTGGAGGTTTCGGGGTTCGGAGCTTCTGAGTGTTCGAGATGTGTGCCAGCAGACTGATCATGATTGGATTGGGCACAATTCCTTCGCCTGGGCGGGGTTCTTTCATTAATGCGATGCCTCTCAAACCACCTGAATGCAGCTTCCAGGCGTCAACAGAATCTGTTTTTCACCAGTCTAGACTCTAGACCATATGGACTTGGGATTTCAGGGGCTCCAGCCCCTGAACCCCAAACGGGAAACGCATGAAGGCTCATCCGAGCCGCTAAACTTCGGAGGTCGCTTTCTAGACACTTCCCCGAGGTCGTCACTCCTGAAGAAGTGGTAGCCGAGAAGGTCGGCAGACTCTGCTGGGGTTTAGGGTTTAGGGTTTAGGGGGTAAAATAGGGGCCGTAGGTGGGTTAGGGGTTTAATATAGGGAGCTGAAGAATTGGAATAGAGTTTTGGTGCGTATTCTGCTATGAAACATGGGGGCTATAAGAAAATACTATTCGTAGTTATTCAAACCCCTACTTTTTCATAGTACCGGTATAGGGGTTGATCACTTCAACGTAGCTGAGCATAACAAGAGAATCTTCAACCTCCTGCTCGAACCCGCGCAGGGATACCTATTTGCACTCTATAGGCCGCCTTTGACAGACCTTGGCTGAAGTATGCGCCTAATGAAGCCCGAAACCTCTCAACATGCAGCAGGGAAACGTCTAAATCCCTCCACCCTAAAAACTGAAGCTATCAAAGCACAGCGCTGGTGGTCGACAGTTGCAGGCAGAAGCGCCCTCGCCCGAGGCAGATTCTTCGGCCAACGAAGGCTGCACGATTTGGGTCTTGGGTTGGGGTTGTAGGGTTTAGGCCGCAACAAGGTTTCCTAAACTTTGGGCCTTAACATTTAGAACAAGGCTATGCGATATCTTACAATTGAATTGATAGTTATACTGTTATACTACCTATTCAAGCCCCTGAATTTGGGCAGCTACAGGGCTTTGTTATGCGAATGACACACGATGTAGGGTCCCTTTTAGGGTCCTTGGCTATAAGTGGTTTCTTTCTTTGAGCCTCCCCGCCAACCTCCGCGAGATGCTGGCAAGGCACCTGCTAGGTGCGTGTACGGTCGTCCAGGGGCAGTCTCCTGAGATGCTGTGGTGCTAACGTTGGTTGGGGAGTGTGCAACGGGGGAGTCTGGTGCTGATGATTTGTTCTTGGTGCGAAAACCCAACATGAGGCCTTTTGATGCTCGCAGGGTTGCGCTCGGGGTCTGACCCTCCTCGGAGCCCTGTCGGTGTGTTTTCTGGCGGGCTTGGTCCACAATTGCCTGGCTCTTCTCTGACACTGTTTCCACGGGTGCGGTGTCTGCACCCTCGTCTTGAAAGTGGCCGAACTCTTTCCCTTCCTTTCTTTTCCTGCTGTCTTTCTCTCTCCTCCTCTCCTGCTCTGCTCCTCCCAATTTCCCCCTCGTTAACTTTGTCGTCCCGAGATTCCACTCCTGAAGCGATACCCTCGCCACGTGTTGCTCCAGGGCAATCTTTTCCTTTCATCGTGTACTTGCATAGGGCGAAACATGACGTGAAACCACGACACTTCCGGCGTTTGGGGCAATGGATGGCTTCTAAAGGTGGCAGAGCGGCCGGCTGGTTTTGTGATTACGAGGGAGTGCTACGTGGTGTCTGAAAGCAAAGTCATCAGTAAGATAGTGGTCTGTCACTGCCCCACCCAGTGCCCATGGGACGTAGAAGTGTGGAGCGCCATGCCATGGATTACCGATTTTGGCCCGACTCCAGACCACTGCGTTACTAGCCTGCAGTTCTCAACCATAGAAAATATTTGGTCTAGGGTTTTCATGCTCTTTGGGGCCTGAAAAGCCCGAAGGGGCCCGAAGCGATTGTAGTTAGTACAATCATTGACGCCCCTATGCCGGGAGGAAATGCAGGGTTCTGAACAATTCGTCATCGTATTCCTGCAGGTCCAGCCCACGCTACCATAGCGAGCCCAGAAGATCTAGCTAAAGTTACAGCCGAGATACGGAGCACGAAGTAGCCCACACATCGGCTCATCTGCAAGCATGTAGAAGCCCTACACGTCTAATATGGCGGCCTAAATGATTAGAATAAGGCTTGGAGGTGTGCAATCGCATAAACATGATGAAGGAACCCTCAGGAAAATTACCCGAAAGCCGAAAACAGTACCCCCTAAACCCTAAACCCTAAACCCTAACCCGCAGAACTCCGGGACGGAATCTGCAGCCAGGTCAGCCAGATCCGCTGTCTCAGCAGCCTTTGCCGACAGGCCATCCCCAAACCAAAAAAGCCGCTGAACTGCCTAGGCCCAAATGGAAGTTTCCGAAAATAAGGGGTACCTTACTTTGGGGTTCTTTTTCTTTTTAGGATCCTACCAATTATTTAGGGTACTATATTAGGGTCCCCTATTTTTCGGAAACTCCCACATAGCCCTCGAACCACAAATCCCCAAACCCAAATGGTTGCGGGTTCGGTTTGGGGTTGCCCAGGTTAATTGGTGTGGCGAGAGCAAGGGTGCCTAAACCCAAAACCCCAGCCCTGAGCAAGATGTACAAAGTGCATTGCTCAATGCAGTGGCATGACTCAGATTCCGCTTTGGCTGAAGCCCTGCTCCCGACAGCCCAGATGTCGTTTGCTTGCATCGTGGTTCATCTGGAAAGTTTTGCTGTGTGGCAAGAGTGCAGTGCATCCTGCAAAACTATGAGTTCTTGCGGTTCACTTCATCCCCTGCAGACCAGATGGCACAACAAATTTCACTAGACATGCGGTTCGTGAATTTATTTTCCGGGTGTTTTCCTTGATTAGTTAGGTATTGGAGGAAGCGACCCAGCATCCCAACAAGTCACGGTCTGTGCACTCAGGATCCAGCAAAGAATCGTATCTGCATTTTTGAATTCCCTGCTGGTCACTCTCTATGTACCCCTCTGCATGACACTTGAATTCGCGTCGCCCTCCAGGGCCGCTCGCACAAGAGTTTCGGTTTAGATTTGGGTAGTTGTCAAAATTATGGTCCCTTTTGGGGTACCCTAATTAATAGGTGCCGTATTATTATAAGGACCCAACAAGTGCGGGATCTCCATCGCCCCCCGGTTCTAGGATGGATTCAGGTGCTGAGCCAAGGCACGGATTGAAATTTATCCTACAGAAACGGCAACTCGGAATCCTGACGGCACGCGATGGTGGGACATGGTGGGACATTCCATCGGGGATCGACTGAGGTTTTTGCGATCTATTGTTGTCACAGGGCAACCCTAAACCCTAAACCCTAAACCCGGCAGGACGGTTTCGTTCCTAACAGGGTTCCTGCAGCTTCAACGAATCGACCACCCAGGCACTCTTTGGAAAAAACCAGCTCTTGCGAATCCCAATACGGCGGTTTCTAGTGGCACGTGGGATGACCTACACTTGTATGGATCTGCTCCATGTGATGAGAGATATGAATATATACATTTTTGTATATGTACCTACATGTATATAATATATACACATACATATATATATATAATATGTATATATATATATATATAGAGGTACACGTGGATTTTCTTGTTAAGCCACTCGAAATTCTTCCAACTTGCTGAAGGCATCAACCCGCGGCCAAGCCAAACGCTTTGAGCCAGGCTCCAGCCTGCCAGACATCAGGGGATTTTAGCTTTTTGGGTCTTAGGGTTTGGGGGCTTTGGTTTAGGGTTTAGGGTTTAGAGTTTTTTGTTTTTTTGGGGGGGATTTTCGCGTTTTTGGGTCTTAGGGTTTGGGGGCTAGGGCCTAGGGGCTTTCTGTTTAGGGTTGGGGGGTTCCAGAATGAGGGGTTAAGGCTCTAGGAGGTCCAAAGGGATGGTATGAGCCACGTTTTGCAGTCAATTTTTCTCTTAGGCATTAGACTCAACGCAACACAGCAGGGATCTACACACATCCCTTTGCTACACACTTAAGAACAGTCTTGCAGTTTACTCGGGCTTTTGCTTGAGTCAGCCGCTGTTCGGTTTAACTTTTATGGTTGTGGTCGTGGTTGTTGGTTGTTGGTTGTTGTCGTCATCGTCGTCGTCGTCGTCGACTCGGAAGCTTGAGATTACTGTGACAACGACGACAAAGACGAACGACGACTACTGCTGCTACCCGACTTCCTCCTGTCACCCTGCCACCATCAGCACCACGACCGCTGGCACTACGACGACGACAGCTAAACCTGCTGCGGCTGCTACTGCTGTATGACTCCTGCTGCTACTACTGCTACTACTACTACTACTACTACTACTACTACTACTCCTACTACTGCTGCTGCTGCTGCTGCTGCTGCTGCTGCTGCTGCTGCAGCTATTGCGACTGCTGCTACTCCTGCGCCTACTCCTACCCCTACTGCTACTGCTACTGCTACTGCTGCTTCTGTTGATGTTGAGTGCTGCTAATGCTACTCCTGCTATTGCTAGCTACTGCTGCTCCTATCAGGGATTACTACGATCTGTTGGTTTCTAACTCCCTGCTGTTGTTGCGCCGACGCTTCTCATGATGCTGATGGTGCACGAAGATGATGATGCTGATGGTGGTGGTTATGATCAATATGACGACACACGCGTGGTGTTGATGGTATCGAGTATTTCGCTGTGCGAGCACGGGCGAGCCACTGAGCAACCGTTAAAATGATGCTCCTGGTGAAGTTTCGCGTCAAAGTTGTTCAGTCACAGCGCACATTTGAACGATTATCTCCATTCGTGCAGGAGCTCCTGGTCGGGCCAGCATCATGCACGACTGCCCATCCATTTCCGTGTGTGGCCGCCGGAATGCTGTTTCAAGAGGTGCCCAAAGACGCACGGCAGCTAGACACCTGAGTTTTTTTGATGAGGCAGGTCTTTCCTGTGCTCGCAAAACAAGCAAGGAGTGCATAATGGTGCTTCCATCATTTGGTGTTTCCGTATAGAGGAATGACGACTTTTCGCAAGGTGAGGCAGCAACCAACCAGTCAAGCTACCGAGTCAGATCATGGGTTGTCCTGTTCCTTTTTGGTGCTGCCTCAACCTCAGCCTCATGTCAAAGTTGACAGAATCTACTTGGAGGTTCATGGGTAGTTATAAGTGGGGTTATAAGTAGGGTAACTGTAATTCTAAACCATATTAGGGGACTTATAACCCTATTTATAACTAGCCATGAACCTCCAAGTATGCGAGATAGGGACCAGCTCCGGACACGGGGGCGAACGATGCAGGTGAGGGCGTCGAATCTGTAATTCGTGGATTGCAGACGAAAGCAAAGACACATGAGCACAGCATGTACAAAGCTTCGGCCCTGCACTCCGAAACAGCACCAACTCGAGCTGTCATCATTGCATATTGCTACGACTGGGGAAGGCCAGCGAGGTTGCTGTAACCGCTCTTGGCTTCTGTTTCTGGAGAGCAGAGGAAGGGGGTTGCAGCTTTAACGTCGTCTGTAGAAGTTGAGCCTGTCTTGGCTAAATTTTCGCACTGCCCATGCTGCTGTCGTGCTTGTCCGCACAGGCTCACCCAGGAATATGTGTTGATAATTATCATCTTCCGCTTGCCTCGTGCCTGATAGTCAGATGGTCCTCGATGTTAAGATTTGCTGTTGCAGAAGTGTTGCAGTGAGTTTTTTTCCGCATCAGCTCGACTTGACGTTCCATCGGGCCTTTACACATTTTGTCTGTCCCCTGTGTTGCCAGAAGTTCACCAAGCTTGTTACACCAGGCTGAGACGGTCATGGGCAGGCTGAAGCCAAAATCCCGGTCTCGAAGAGGATCTCAGCAATGCAGGCTCAAATAGGGCCCTGCAGCATATTTCAAGCTATCTTCGGAGTGAGATGCTGCTGGGATCTCGCGCTCGCAACCAAAGGAGTTCGCAGGGCCATAGGTATAGTATAGTAATAGTATTGTATAGTATAGTATTGGTAAAGTTGAGTATAGTATAGCAAAGTTTAGTATAGCATAGCATCGTTTAGTATAGTTTAACATAGTTTTATATAGTTTAGCATAGTTTAGTGTGTAGTATAGTTTAGTACAATATAGTATAGTATATTCCTCTCGCAGGAAATGCTTACACGGTTCATGGGTAGCTATACGTGGGGATATACGTCCCCTACTCTGGGTTATAATATAGCAGGCTCACTCACAGGGGTCAGGATGGGTTGACGCTGGACAAGCTTGTCAGTGACGCTAGGCAGACCGGTTCACATCGTCATGATCACCGGACACTGCTATCTTGAGGGTAGCCTCTCTCTGCCAGAGCTTGCATGCGACTTGAGTTGTACCCTACATATTTCTTGAAAAGCTGAACCGAACATGCACATTTTGTATGCTTGATGCTGATGATGCTTACTGTCTATGAGCATGTTGGAGATGCCCATGTCCCCCTACCTGTCGGAGGAAGAACAGTGAGACCTTGCATTCCACCACGGGTGTTTCCTGCCAGCCCCTCTTGACACGTTCAGGCAATGTTGTATTTCGACAATCATTCTGTGCCGAAGCGCTTAAGCCCATACCGTCACCGCCCAAGTGTCTCCAAACACTCCTATGCCTGAAACTACTCTGAGCTGAGAACCCTGAACTCACAACCCCGTCAGGAAGCCAAGTAAACAATTAAACCCTAAACTCCAAAATATCCGACAGCACAAAAAGGTTAAGCCCTAAACTCCAAAACCCGACGCGCCATGGGTGAAAAGGTAGGACAGGTAGGAGATGCAGTCCTGGAGGCCTCTCCGCTGTATATGGCCGTGGCTGCTACCAGGGCCTTCGGGTCCGGTCTCTGGGGGGACCTTGAATTTTTTGAAGGCTCGGGGGCGGGTCCCAAGTCTAATAGAAGGGCCCAGATAATTACCAGTACTATTTTGGGGGCTCCTTACTAGAAGTATAGTATAATATACCCCAAAACCTTATTCTAATTTTGCAGGCGCCTCCACCCAAAACCCTGATAGTCGCCCTTATAGAACCCTTTTCGGAACACTTTAAAGGAACCACAAAACCTAATTCTCATTATATTAAGGCCCCGTGACCAAGAGTCCTGGGGGTCTTCGTTGAACTCGCCCCTAAACCCTAAAACCCTAAACCCTGAAACCCTAAAACCCGAAGCCCTAAAGCCTAAATCCTACCCTAAACCCTCTGCTTTTTGATGGGTCCTGGCTTCGAAGAACTCGCCTGAGACCCAAAATCTTAATCCGAAGCTGCTCGATCCGGTACGGTTTAGGGTTTAGGGTTTAGGGTTTAGGGTTTACCCCTCTTGGAAATCTAGCGAGCCCCCCCGTCTCTCAACGTAGGGCGTAGGGACGGCAAAGACGTCAGAGTCATTCTGGTCTCCTACACCCTCGATCTCTCCACAAACTTGAAAATCATGGTACTGTAGGGGCCTAAATAATTACCAATGCTATTGTGGGGGTTTCTTATGATAAGTATAGCATACTGGGCCCCAAGACACCATTCTGCTTCTTAAGGCCCCTAAAATAGAGCCCTATTGAAGATCCCTTATAGAACTCTTTAAAGGATCCCTGTAGAGCCCTATTATATAGATCCCTTATAGAACCCTTGAAAGGATCCCTTTAGAGCCCTATTATATAGATCCCTTGTAGAACCCTTTAAAGGATCCCTTTAGAGCCCTATTATATAGATCCCTTATAGAACCCTTCAAAGGATCCCGTTAGAGCCCTATTATATAGGTCCCCTACAGAACCCGTAAAAGGATCCCTTTAGAGCCTTATCATATAGATCCCCTATAGAACCCTTTGAAGGAAGACCCTCAGAGCCCTATTATAGATCCCTTATAGAACCCTTGAAAGGATCCCTTTAGAGCCTTATCATATAGATCCCCTATAGAACCCTTTGAAGGAAGACCCTCAGAGCCCTATTATAGATCCCTTATAGAACCCTTGAAAGGATCCCTTCAGAGCCTTATCATATAGATCCCCTATAGAACCCTTTAAAGGAAGAGCCTTAGAGCCCTATTATAGATCGCTTATAGAACCCTTTAAAGGATCCCTTTAGAGCTCTTAGATAGATCCCTTATAGAAGCCTTTAAAGGATCCCTTTAAAGGATCAACCCGAAGGCCTCTACATCAGGATCTTTGAGTCCCCCAAGCAGCTCCCTAGCCAGCCCCAGCAACATCATGGACCCTAAGAATCCTTCGGCCTTCCTGAAAAAAATAGGGGCCTAAATAATTTCATATGCTATTTTTGGGGTTCCTTGTTATGATTGTAGTATAATATACCCCAAAACCCTATGCTAATTTTCTATATATTACGCTTTGCAATGCATCTTAAGGAGCCTAGACCTCATGAACGTTTTCTACAGAAACAGCCTACAATTTTCAGGGACTCCTAAACCCCGAAAAAGTCCCCAACCCCCAACCCCAAAAACCCCAAGCCCAAAGCCCTACAACCCTGAAGCCTAGAAAGGCTAAAGCCCTAAATCGAACAGCCCTAGACCCTTGGCGCACCAAAGACTGAGCGAGGAATTCTTGGAGTCACGTCTTTTTCAGTTTTGGGCTCGAGACAAACTCCGCCCAGTGCCGCTCTCCGAAGCGCCACGGCTCAGTTGGCTCACGCTTTGAAGGGTTTAGGATTCAGGTACCCTAACACCCTAAAGCCCTGACACCCTCACACCTTAAAGGCAAAATCCCTAAACCGGTTTTGTTTCTCGAAGCTAGATTGTCTTTCAGGGGGCTTCATTTCGGGTTTGGTGCGGTTCCTGCTTTTTGGCAGATCCTTTGTGGTTGGGCTTTACCATAAACCCTAACGACGAAACCCTTTTACGGCTTTGCCCAGAGACAAGGCATGAGGACTCCAGTCCAACACTCAAACACTAGCTCCGCGCAGTTTTTGACGTCCCTAGACCGTACACCCTGAACTTTCATAAACCCTGAAACCCAAAATTCATAAATCCTGACGACGAAATAAGCCACACAAAATTTGTTGGAGTCGTTTCTGTGATCCGGCACCCGGGATTTCAAGCTCGCGGAGCAGGAGCCTCTTTGGGCTTTAGGGTTTATGGCGTAGGGTTTTAGGGTTCAGGGCTTGAGGCTTTCTTTCAGGGTTTAGGGCTTTGGGTTTTAGGGTTTCAGGGTTCAGGGCTTTAGGGCTTTAGGGTACTTGGAGGTTCATGGGTAGTTATAAGTAGGGTTATAAGTCCCCTCATATGGGTCATAATTATAGTTACCTTACTTATAAGCACTTATAACCACCCATGAACCTCCAAGCAATGAAGCCCAAATATCGCGAGGCAGCCGAGGCCTCGTCCAAGAGATGTCGAGCCACGACTCTTCGGTGTCCGATACCTCATCGAGAGAGGTTGCTGGTCAGGGTTTTTTGGGTTTTGGGGTTTCGGGGTTTCGTGTTTTGGGGTTTCTGGGTTTTGGGGTTTAGGGCTTAGGGTTTGGCGTTTAGGGTTTGTCGGGGTGGGGGTGGAAGGATTCGGTGATTCAGGGAAGAGGTGGACATTGCCGAGTTTGCCCTTCCAGCTCAGATTCTATACTTTGCTTTGTTGCTCTGAGTGTAGGCGCTTGGACGTGACCGTACAGGGTCACGTGAGGGTTGAGCAGAGTTTCTTCCGAGACAGGCTTCCTGAAAGGCGAGTCAGACCATTGACAGCAGTATCGCGGCTCAACATGGTGGTACCAAGGCTACTGAAGAACATGAATAGTAACAGAAGTATGGTTAGCACTTCCGATCTATGCCATTGAGAAGAAGAGTGCTGCTGATGATGCTAGTGCTGCGAGTACGACCAACTTGGGCTAGTCAGACACAGCATGCTAAGTCCGTTCATACCAGTTATGCTCATCATACTCATGCAAGTAGTCATGCATTCGGTATTAGTGCCCATATCTAGTTAACATCAGGATACGACTAGTCACTAGTGTTCAGAGTATTACTCATACGGCAAGACGGTCCGTAACACAATTCGACGACTACTACAGCGGCTAGCGCTAGTGCCAGTGATTCCTTCAACTGAAAGTCATGGGCGCCAAAGGAGACACCACGCACCTCGCAACCCTAATCTTAGATTCTACTCATGACGACAATAGGATGAAGAGCTCTCGTCGAATCGACGGAATGAAGGCTTCTTCGTTGTTGAGGGTTAAAGGCTTGAGGACTACGGATTCAGGGTTTCGGGTTCAGACGAGTCGTCACGCACCACGTGTGTGTTGGGGCTCTTTGCAGCCTAGGTCTTTTAGTAATATCAGTATTGCGATTCTTGTCATGATTACTGTTATGACGATAATTTTGATGATTCGTGTCATTGTTAGTAAACATATTCTCTCAATCAAGCTTCTTTTGAGCCTGATTGAAGCTTTTGGCCGACAGCATCCCAACGCCAGGGTGAAACAGACTACGTTGTCGAAGAGGTTTCTGTGCATCAGGACGAGGAGCAGTGCTTCTGCTTAGACGGCAAAGCTCAAACCCCAAGCATCATGATAAGCAGCAGAGTGACCAGAAACTTGGGGAACTCCTGAAGCTCAAGCTGTCGGCCCAGCACTCGAAATCCTGAACCACCCGATTCCTGACAGGACTCGGAGGGACGCAGCCCTATCGGCGAGGGCGCGGGCCCTCAGGAGGCCGGTCGTTTGCTGCTTTGATGAAGCGTCACCACTCCAGAAGGGTTGCTCTTTGGCATCGCTTTGGCCGTCGAGGGATTTTTGAGGATTTCAGATGGGTTCCAGAGTCCTTATTAAAATGGTCGAGGTTTTGTTTCGAAAAGATTTCGAGTTGAAGGGGTTGGGGTTTCAGGTACAACTCGATGAAGACCCCCCCCCTCTCCCCTGCACTTCTCCAGGTCCTAACAGAATCAGAAGCAATAAGATGTTGGCTGGATTGCAGAGGCCTTTAGCCTAGCCTTGGTAGCCGTAAACTTCATATAGTTTCGTAAACCCTAAACCTAAACCCTCTGGTTTGTCATGGCCGACGATATAGAGGCCTTAATAAGTACCAGTACTATTTTGGGGTTCCTTGTCAGAATTACAGTATAAAGTGCCACAAAACCCTATTCCAACTATTAGGGGCCATATACTGCACCCCTAAAGTATCCCATATAGTAGCCCTTATAAGGGACCCTTCAAAGGAACCCCAAACCCAAACCCCAAAACCCTATTCCAAATATTAGGGCCCCTATACTACGCATCTGTAGTATCCCATAAAGTAGCTCTTGTAAGGGACCCTTTAAAGGAACTCTATTCCCATTATTCCATTATTAAGGCCCCTTTCCGATAGTGACTATTGCAGGAGGAGGAGTGCTTCGATGAGTGCTCCCTGGCTTACGCGAGTCTCTTTGGATTAATGCAACAATCGCAGTGTGCATGTGCCGGTGCATCATTATATACTGTTACTCTATGAGATGTATACTTATATACATATGTATATATACATGTATATATATATATATACACATACATACATACTTAGTGCTGTATTTTGTATTTTTTTACTATATTCGGGCCAGGGAATCTGTCTGCGAGTGAGAAGCATGGGCAGAGCCACTGAGGCTTGGAAAAGTATCAGGCGCACTGCACTGGAGTTTCTGGAGGTATGTCCTAAGCTTCGGAAATGATGTGGAATGAGTAGCCCTAAACCCTAAAGCCTAAACCTGAACCCTAAAACCTAAACCCTAAACCCTGAACCCTAAACCCTAAACCCTAAACCCTAAACTAAAAGAATAACCCTAAACCCTGAACCCTAGTAGCAAGTATCGAGAGGCCTGACTGTTGCCCCTCCGTTCTGCAGGGGGCTCGTGCGAGGTAAAGATGAGGAGTCTCGAGCTACGTATCCCTGAAGCTTAAACCCTAATCCACAAGATCTTAGGAATGGGACTAAGGAAGTAAGGTTACAAGTACCTTATTCGAGGTTATAAGTATTCTCAGCTACAGCATTCTGAGCTACAGCTACCTTAGTTATAGTCCGATTGACTACGTCCCACGATCCTTCAAGCAGGCCCGACCGAGTTTCTCATGCAGATCTGGCAGTTGGCCTTGAGCCAGAATTTCTCTGCCGGTTACGAGCGATAACATCGAGGCCTTATAATTAGAGTAGGGATTTGGGGCCCATAACACTATAACTATAATAAGGAACCCCCAAAACCCTATTCTAATTATTAAGGCCCCTACATTACTCAAGAGAAGTCCCAGTCCATGAACAAGCTTGAAGCCTAGCCGTCTCCCAGGAAGACCGGAAAATCTTAGACTTGCTGAACTGTCGCGCTGCCCTTGCGATGGAAACTGACATATGTAGGTTGCAAGCCAGTTTACAGCAAAGTGTGGGCTCATGCGTCATCATTGGCACCAGGTAGGTTGTGTGCGGAAGGAGAGTTGAATCATGGTTTGCACCAGCTGGGGTCAGCATCTAAAGTCATGCAAGGCTCGACTTGCAAGGCAGGCTTTGCATTGGTAGGCCTAGATACACAGCCCAAGAGCTTTTGGCAACCCTGGATGGCAGCATGTAGCACAGCCGTGGTCCAAACGCGCGTCGTTGGCAGACCGTGCAAGAGCTCATCCTCGAAGATATTCGCATCCAGGAGGATGTGGCTGATGCCTGCAAAGAGGCCCGGCGCCCCAAGATCCAATACATACGTGAAGACCCGACCCATCCCGAAACCTTTCTGTTGAAGGGCCTGCGGCTGTTCGCGGTCAAGCATTCGTTGTTCTTAGGACCTGGGAGAGCAAACGTGGAAGTAATGCCCTTGCAAGTAGGAGTGATCTTCGTTTGTTTCAGATGCCCTACACCCCAGGCCCAGAGTCCGAAACGGTGAACATCGCTGAAGTGCATGCGGCCTTTCAGTTCCCGTGTCTTGAGCCCTCGAGCATCATTACCTTCATCACCATCGTCCCCTATCACCTTCATCATCATCATCATCATCATCATCATCACCATCGCCATCGCTACCGGCATCACCGGTACTGCGACTTGTATTTTTTGGTCTTGGCGCTACCACGACACTACACTACTACGTAATTTCGGAGTGATTCGCTTTTCACAATCCGGCCGACCTTGTCAAGCGAGAGACGTTCCATCCCTGGCGTGAGCTGTCCGAATTGAAAAGCTCCGAGCCGTGAAGAATACTAAGGGTAGAATAGGGTTTTGGGCCCATTATACTATAATTATAGTAGGGAACCCCAAAATAATATAGGTAATTATTGAGGCCTCTATATTAGAAGTAAATCGTCCACCTGCCTGCAGATTTGGAACCGGTTCATTGCATCTCAGTCAAGCCGCGACGCAGCGGGCAACTTCGGCTGCATCATGTGTTTCCCTACAATGAACGCTTCAGGTTGAGGCTGTTGATCTTCATAGCCATCACAACATGCTCGATACTGGGCATGGAGTTGATGGCTGACTGCCGCAGCCCTGAACCCTGAACATCCCTGAACTCTAAACCCCAAACCCTACATCTCAGACATTCCTAAACCCCAAATGCCACACCCCGCAATAAATCGCAGACCCTAAATCCTAAACCCTAAACCCTACATAGACCCTAAGTCCCAAGCCCTAAATCAAACCCGACTTCCCTACCCTGAACCCTAACCCCTAATCCCTAAACCCTGAACCTTAAATGCTAAACCCTAAACCCACAGCCGCCCAGGGGAAGCCATCTACTCCGCCGTGTTTGATGCTGCTCCGAGTCTTCAGGGGCTCTTCAAGACGCCGAGGCGCCTTTGAATTAGGGCCTGAGGGGTTAGGGGTATTTTGTGTTTTGGGGTTGAGGATTGAGGGGTTTAGGGCTCCGGGGTTTAGGGTTTTGAGGTTGAGGGTTGAGGGGCTTTGGGTTTAGGGGTATCTTATTTTGGGGTTTAGGGCTTGGGGTTCAGGCTTTAGGGTTTTGGGGTTTGGGGTTTGGGGTTACCACCGCCTGTGTGCCCACCACACAGCAGACGTTGAAGAAGGACTGGATTAGGAATTGCCTGGCGTTCAGGACGCATATTTGTCATGAAGTTGCAAGCTGGACACCTTGTGGATGGATCCGTGTTTCAGCCTGATTGTGGAACATGCCGAGTTCAGCAGTTTAGCAGACCCTAAACCCTAAACCCTAAATCCTAAACCCTAAGATTCTGGTCGGGCCACATCCCGGTACTTCCTCAACTCGCCTGAGAGCTCTTTGTTCCGGTGCGCTGCGCAGGTCTGTGATGGCTATGCGATTTATGAATGGCCGGGGCCCAAGAGTTTTTTTTTTAAAGAGGGTTTTAAAAAAAAGGGTGTTTAAAAACCCTCTTCTTTATGAGTGGCCGGGGCCCAACTGGTCTTCTCAAGCAGTGCCAATATCACATGTTTCCAGAATCCCTTCGAAGAGTTAGCAAGAGTATCCCTCAAAGCCCTCTTCGAATCACTAGGGCACAGAAGCAAAAAACCCATAATGCCCTTATAGAACCTTTTCAAGCTATGAAGGCCCGTGTATTTGGTCACATAGGGGTTCGGGCTGGGGACCTCGAAATTCAGGGCTTCCACCGAACCAGCGCCAGATTTCGTCACCTGCTTAAAGCATCATGGGACTTAGTAAGCAGGGTTTTAACTAAGGCAACTATACTTATAACCCCAATTAGGGGACTTATAACCTTACTTACTAAGTCCCATGATCCTCCAAGTACTAAGGGTGCACTGGAAGTCATAGCGGGGCCTTGATCACTAGAATAGGGTTTTGGAGAGATACCGGCGAATAATTATATAGGGACTGCAAGGGACTAGTGGTCCTAACTTTTTGGGCCCCAAGGCAAAGTTTCCTGTGATATGTAGGCTTCTGGGAGTACTAGGATGTCCCACGTAGTGGTGAGAACTGAGGCTTGACCAGCATCATCAATATCTGCCACAATCCATCCGGCTTGAGGGCGCAGGCATGAGGGCCGGCTCTGGTTACTTTTCATATGATTTCTCAGTTTCCAGGTCATACTGTTCGTCTATACGGCGAACAACATATATGGGAAGAACATCAGTTGCGGGTCTTTGAGCTTGAAGCCTGTAGTCGTCGTACAGTGGTCGTGGTGGCAGTCGTCCGGGTTTTGTGGTTGTTGTCGAGGAAATCGTCCCTGTCGTAGTCCTTGTCATGGTCCTTGTTCTCGTGCTCCTCCACTCCTCCTCCTCCTGATCCTCTTCAATTCACCATCATTATCCTGGTCGCAATAAATTACTGATTACTGTCATCCGTGCCGCTATCGCCACCACGAGCATCATTTTAAAGACTACGTTCCGTACGAACATAGCACCGTCATCATCAGTCTCTCACCATCTTCAGAATTTCATCCACAGCAACAAACACAGTCGACACTCTCGCAAGGAAAGACCGGGCCAATACAGTAACTGCCAGAAGAGCCTTACCAGGGGGCCCGGGGCCTCTTTGACGGCTTCGGCCCGGAACCCCAAGCTACTTTCAGACTCCTTCGCAGATCTATCCGTGCCCTTGAATCCGAATTTCGATCTTTATCTCAGCTCATCTAAACCCTGAGACCCAAGCTGACCCCAGCTCTGAGTCGGAGCAGCTTGAAGCCCTGAGTGTAGGGGATTTAGAGTCTTTTTAGGATTCGTTTTTTTTTTTT